TATGTACAAGTACTTTTATGTACTTATCCCTCAAAGGATAATGACACATTTTCCTGTTGGCCTTGCACCATTTGCATTTCACTGGAAATGTATAAACTTTGTCACAGAAAAAGTAAATTTATTTTAAAAGAGTGTTTCCAAAGCTGTCCTTTAGATAGCAAAACCTGTCAGAAAAGGCAAATAATGGAGATTCCCATCCTGCCTGAGGGCTCTGCTCCTTTTTTCTGGGGCACAAATAGTCTGGACTTTGGGATTTACACTTCCCAAAGTTTCACCACTGTGAACTGAATTACTTTTATCAACTTAAATGCGTGTGCGAAGGATTAGTTACTAACTCCAGTCATCAATTCAGGAAAGTTATGACAGTAAAAAAGTTACAGGCAAAATGTGCTGTAACCCTTTTCTAATTTGAGTTCACAAGTAGCCAAATTCACTGTCAGGGTATGGTGGGTGTTAATGAATGAAAAACAATTAAATCCTATTAGGGTGAAACATCTGAGAGCTTCCAGAAATCATTGCAGTGTGAGTTATGCAACATTTATTGCATGTATTTTCAGGTGAGTTTCTAAAGTTTTAGCAGTGCTGGGATACAAGAACTGGTCATGTATTTAGGGAGGTTTTAAGGGCTGCAGCTGCCCTGAGGATGGACGTGGTTTTTGTAGCTCTGAGCAGTTTTAACCTGTCATCATTCGGGCTTGGAATTTGTCCCATGGAATGCTTAAATCCATGGATTAATGCTTTAACCCATGGACTAAAAACCTGGCTTTTCCCTCAGCAAGGTGTGGTTAGTCCACAGGAATGCTGGCTTGGGAATGGGGATTTGATTATCAAGGCTGTTTTTTAATTTATTTATCAATGGAAGTTACAACTCTGTGGATAAAGGAAGCTGTGACATAAGGAAAGAACAAAATGTGGAGCACAGATGGTTTTAATCACAGAAGTGTTCAACTCGATTCAACACACAAGGAAATATTTGTGAATCTTTTTTCTTTTTTTAATAGCACATTGTTATAATACTTTACATATACACTGTACAATAATTCTTTCGTATCCAAGACTTTCATACAGAAAAAAAAAACAACAAAAATAGTTCTATAAAACATTCTGTAGTTCATCAGAAAGATTTGGAATAAAACACGGGGAGCTCTTAACCTGCAGGTGATGAAAACAGGGGGCAAAATCCTGGAAAAATTTGTTCTTGAGCATTCATATTGGCAAAATT